CCAACCCCTGGCTTGGTCCCCCTGTGGCTACTACAGAAGGGCTCGTCCTGCTGGTACGTCCAACACACCAGCCCCGTCTCCCCAAGGGGCGTGGTGGACACAGGCAGTGCCCTGGCTCGTGGAGCTTTCTGGAGAGATGGATCACACCTGATGTGTTTTGGTGCAAGAACTACTGTCTCACCAGCTCAATGCCCTGAAACCTGATGGCCCACCTCTGGAGATGATTCACTGAAGAACAGCCATTTGGCTCTGTTGTCTCCTTCCCAGGTGTCCACGGCATGTCCTGGGCGGCCAATCAGGGTTGTGGACAGAAGCGCTGGCTTCCCAGCTTGGCACATGCTTAGGCAGCCCCTTCCCCCTTGTAGGAATTCTCGACAGGGACCAGGATGTGTTGGGGTTTCGGGTTGTATAAGTGGGTTTGGAGAAATTTTGATGAGGCAGCACTGACTTGGATAAAGCGCTTACATTGAAACCACTGTTGGCTTTAACATGGGAAAAGGCTAAAACTTAGGTTCAAACTGGTCCCCTTTGGTGGGTGGTAAGTTATCTCTGTCTGCCCTCAAGGCCTGAAATCTGGAAGAACATGAGAGCACAGGGATGAGGTCAAACATCTGCAGGAATTAAAACCAATTACACACACACACACACACACACACACTCACACACACACGCACGTGTATCTGGGGACAATGTGGGGAACAGCTCAAATCCCATCAGTGACATCTGGGCCGACCTCAGGGGGCGGCAGAGATTTCAGGATGACTCTTGCTGTTGGAGGGGCCTGGTGGGCGTATAAACAGGTCACTCAGAGGCAGGCCTGGCTCTGGACCCCTAGCCTCTGGTCCATTTGTCAGGTAAATCTGTGCCGTCAGGTGGATGAGTTGGGGTCGAAAGGGATGGAGGGGCTGAAAACGCCCTCATCCGGCCTGAAGAGTCCCATAGCCATCCAGCCAGGGGCAACCTCTGTCATCACCCACCTTTGTGTCTTGGGATCACTACGCCTCCCTCTGCTTTACAGATAAGCAGTGTTACCTGTGATTTGCCATCCGAGTGTGGCTGAGTGACAACCACGGTTTGTAGTGTGTGTTTGGGACAAAACAGCAGTGGCCGGAGCGGGTCAGCTGCTTTTCCTGGGGAAAACCATTTGGGCTTTTGACATTCAGGTCGCAGTTGTGGCCGTGAAGGGGACTGAGGGCGGAGAGGCTGAATGTGCTGCAGTGGGAATCTTTCCTCCGAGGTTTGCCGGAGGCCGAGGCTTGCCCGAGGCCGAGGCTGGGCCTCCCCAGGGCAGGCCTGTCTGTCCTGTGTGTCCCTCACGGGCTGTGTGTGGCGCTCCTGTCCAGGACCCCAGCCACGGCCTAGAATGGGAGGGGGGACCCACCAAGCTCACCCCACTCCTCCCACCGTTTTAGTTCCTCCTTTTCCCATTTTCATACACATCCACCCTTTTTCTTATTTTCCTAATAATTTTGATGATGAAGTCGTTTAAACATACAGAAGGTCACACGTGATACTAACACACACATCACTAAATAGCTCCGTCAGACCTCATCATTTTGTCATTTTGCTTTAAGACATGAAAAGTTGCCAGAGGTTGAGCCCCTCTACCTGTGCTCACCTCCATCCACTTCTCTTCCTGAGGTTTAGGATGATAACCCTGTACTGCATCTTGGAGTTGCCTTTATTTACGTGTGTATCTACAAACCCTCCACAGTACAATTTTGCCTGGTTTTAAACCTCATATACTGAATGTAATCCTTTTCAACCTTTTTTGTTTCTGCTTTTATGAAAACTTGTTTGAGCTTTTATGTCTATATATGTGTTGATCCATATAATCTGGTTCATTAATTTTTAACTGCCACATAGTTTTCTATCCCTCCATTTATCCATTCTCCAACTGATGGACATTTAGGTGCTTATAATTTGGTTTTCTTACAAATGGCGGTACAGCCAATATTCTTCTCAAGGTCTCCCTGCACCCATGTGCACGAGTTTCTCTCGTATGTAGTACGTATGCAGGTCTGTGTATCTCCAGCTCTACAAGAAACTTCACATCACTCTCCAAAGTGCTCTCCAAACGCTCCTCCAGCAACACGTGAGGGTTTGTTTTCCCACGTCCTCGAGTATTTGGCATTGTCAGACTTTTTAATTTGTGCCACTGGACTGTGTGTAAAAGATCTCCTGGTCTTCTCTCCCAAGCCCCCATGCTTCCAGAAGCTCCACCTACAGCCTGCACCCCAGTCACACACAACGGGGATGGACTTGGCTGGTCTCCTGTCCCCTGACCTCTAAGTATTGGGAGTGCACAGAGCTGTTTGCTGGGGCCCCTTCTCTAATTTCCCCGCCCCCTTAGCTAATCTCTCCTTGTCACAGGACTTTGAAACACTAACACCTATTCCAGTGACTTCCAGATGTACCGGTTGTTCCGCCCTTAATATCAAAAGCCACTTAATACATTTAATTGATGGTCAATAAGCAACTTAGGTAAAACTTAACCTGGGGCTTCCCTGGTGACGCAGTAGGTGAGAGTCTGCCTGCTGATGCAGGGGACACGGGTTTGTGCCCCGGTTCAGGAGGATCCCACATGCCATGGAGTGGATGGGCCCGTGAGCCATGGCCGCTGAGCCTGCGCGTCCGGAGCCTGTGCTCCGCAACGGGAGAGGCCACAACGGTGAGAGGCCGGCGTACCGCAAAAACAAAAACAAAAACAAAAAAACTTAACCTGCGCAGTGTCCAGCTTGATTTCTTCCTCAAATCTAATCCTTCCCCATTTTTTCCCATCTCAGTCAAGGGCACTGTCATCTCTCTAATTGCTCAAGCCAACAATTTAGGAGTTGTCCTTGATTATTCTCTTTCCCCACCGCCATGTTCAGCCCATCAACTTATATTAATTTCCGTGTCCAGTTGTTCCTGATTTCCCCCCCTTCTTTCTAATTCCACTGCTACCACTTTGACCAAAGCCACCATCACCTCTTGGCTGGACCGTTGCAGTTGCCTCCTAACTAGTTTTTCTGCTTCTCCTTACAAACCGTCTCTAACCCACAGCCAAGGGGATCTCTTTAGAACATAAAACAGGTAAAACGCCATTCCCCCACTAAAGCCCTCCAATGGTTCTCAGTTGAAAACTCAAATCCAAGGGTACCATGATCTAGAAGGCGGACAAGGTCTGGTCGCAGGCAGACTGCACCCTTCCCTGGGACTCTGTGTGGATGGCTCTTCCCTTGATCTTTTCATGGCTCCCTTGTCATTCAGGGCTCCATCGCTTCCTGGAAGACCTGTCCTGACCACCCCGCCATAGCTAGGGTGGCCCTTTAGCTGCTCTCTGCAGCATCACTTGACTCTCTTTTCATTCTGGAACATCTCAGTGCTCAGTGCTCTGGTCTGTGTCCCACCAGAATATCATCTCCGTGAGGATTGTCAACCCTACTGTACACTTGCAGTGCATGGCAGGAAGTGGGTAGCCATAAAGTTATGAATGAATGAATGAATAGATGGACGTCAACATTTTGGAACAGTCTCTAGGCTCAAAATGAAATTTTTGCTCCCAGAGTCTGGGTGGGATTAAAGCTGCTTGAGGCAAGACGACACCTGTCTTTAGCCAAAACAGTGATTCTCAAGCATTTTATAAATCCCAGGACCCCTTCACACTGTTAAAAATTATGAAGGGTCCTACAAACTGCTTGTGTTCATGTGCATTATATCTACAGATACCTGCTATACCGTAAGTCCCCTACATACGAACCTTCAAGTTGCGAACTTTCAAAGATGCACACGTGCGTTCGCACATCCAGTCACATAAGTTAGTTCACGTGTCTGGTGTACATTGTCATGTGCATGCATCCTCTTCCAAAATTTATAATGTGGTTTTAAGAGAAATGATAGTTTAGATCAAGAAGGTAGTAAATGGCTAGCAAATTTGCTTACCAAAAAGTTTTTACTTATGTGCATATAGACAATTGTGTTAGTTGGGTACCTAGGCTAACTTTGTTGGACTTAGCGAGCAAACCGGACTTACGAACACGCTCTCGGAACGGAACCCGTTCGTATGTAGCGGACTTGCCGTATTACGAAATAAATGAAGAAAAATTTTTAAATATTTATTTTAAAACAGCAATCGATTACATGTTGACATAAGTAACATTTATGTGAAACAACTACATTTTAAAAAAATGGATGAGCAGTGACACTTTGAAAGCCTCTGTTCCACATGCGCAGAGCTGGGTTAGCACCAATGAAGATGCTTTTGAATGAGCAGATGGGGGTGCTCAAGAATTCACACCAAACTTCAGGGTCAGATGTAGCCTCTTCCAGGCATGTGGGCGGGGAATGCGAGCCCACACAAGTCTTTTCCAAGAAGAGGACACATTTGCCCATCTCTTCCCCCTGTGGCTCCCTGACTGCCCACTCACCTGCTCCCAGCCCCACACAACCCTCTCTCTTCCCTTTCCCCTAACAATCTTCTTATCAAAAAAAAAAAAAAACAAGAAAAAAGAAAAAAAAGAAAGAAAGAAAGCAAAGAATAAGATGAGAAATAAATTTAAAGTCATTGGAAATTGATTTGCCAAGTGTATATATCTTTGAAATAGGCTTCTTTCCGTAACCAGAATAAGGATGGTATACATTTTAACCCAGGGCATCCTTTAGGAGTTTTCACTTTGGCAATATGGATTTTGAGGCCTGCCCGGTTTTGCCAAGATTTACTTATTCCTCTTTGTAGTCATGTTGAGAAGCCAAACTGGGTGTCAGTATTTTTTTCTTAGGGTGATACTGAAACCTAAGTTCTTCCTCTTTCTAAGAAGCTGCTCCCTCCCTATCTATATTTTGCACTGCGCCCCCCGGCCCAGACCCCCGCGCTGGGTAAAGGAAATTCACAAAGCCAGGATTTAAAAAAAAAAAAAAAAGTGGTCATCTCTGTGCTCCTATTGCAGCCGCTGAAGCTGCCCAGCTCTGCACACGCCTCTTTCACTTCCTGACGTCACACTATTTTTGTCTTTGAATAGCTCATTGACACAATCGCCTCGGAGATTGGAGAACTGAAACAGGAGATGGTGCAGACAGATGTCAGCCTGGAAAATGGCCTGGGACCCACAGAAGCCCACAGGTGACCGAGGCGATTAGGCGTCGGGCGCGTGATGGGGGCGACGTGAGCCTGTTAGCCACGAGGACTGCTGTTCCTGTCACCCCTCGGGTTTGGGAGCTGGGGGTGTGGTAGCCGCTCCAGAAGAAGCTTTCTGTAGGAGGTGGGAGTGGCCTAGGAACCAGCTGTCCGGGTTCCCGTTAATCCCTGTGCAGGCGCTTGAATTTTACACCTCCATTCCTCCTGGCGTCAGAACCTGGAAAGCTAAATTTCTGTCTGTCACGTCCACCTACTCACAATGATGGAAACAGTAACGCAGTGGGATCCTCCGTGTGCAAAATAGAATTCAGTGTAGCCCGTGTCAGTCTCCAGAACGTTTAAAGGGAGCACTAAAGAGGATGGACTCGTTTTGCATTCTCAGGTCAGAAAAAACCCCAGCCCCTTCCGTGGCCCTTAGCCTGAAATGCGATCCAGCCCAGCGTATTGGAAATCACATGTGGTTGTGAGTGATTAAGGAAGGCACTGGTTAGATGTGTTACAGTGTGTCCACATTGCACGTGGTCTAGGTAGGTAGTTAGGGACTGGCTTTTTCTGCAGAATGGGGGTGCAGAGGTAGATCGGGGTGGGGGGCAGGCTGGAGGAGATCCCCCAAACCTCTTCCAGCTCTTGGAGGCTCTAGTTCATTCCTAGCAAGGACAACAGAGCATAAGCAGTACAGAAACGGCATGGACACTTGCTGCCCCGGAGGCCAGATTCATTGTCAGCTTCCCCCTTTTCTTGGGAAATGGAGTGGAGGTTGCCTGGTGGGTGCAGGGCAAGGGTGAGATCTGCAGAGTTGGTTTTGCTTGCAAGTCATGAGACGGGCAGGAGGGGTCCTGCAGAGGCAGGCGAACCAGGTTCTGGTTATTCAGGCAAGTTTCAAACCAGCCAGACTTGTTCCTGCCCTGGAGGAGGGGAGAGCTGGCAGTCCCCACGAGGCACCCTGCAGCTGGGAGATGGTCCTTCCACACCCTGCGTCTCTGGAGAATTTCCCCCTTAGCTGTGGAAAATTCTCGTGCCTTCCATTTCCTCTCCTTCCTTCAAAAACGACGGAGGTAGACCAGGTGGTCCTCGCCGTGGCATTGTGTGATTCCCCTTGATATCGGTGTGAACAGCTTTGGTGGTTTCATTTTTTTTTCCCCATAAACTAGACAAATGCACAATGATCTTTGATTAGAGATTTTCTGCTCCATGTTCAGAGTAGTTCCAAACTCTGTGGAACTTTTAGCCAGAGGATCTCTCTTTACCCTTAACATCTCCTTTAAGCTTTTCAAATTTAAGAATGACTGTAAGCATTCCACCATACCTTTTTTTTTTTCCAGGTCAATGTCAGTTATTCTTGAATGCTCTGCTGGTTAACACTGAATTTATGAATTTTAAAAGGCGTTTTACTTGTTTTTTTTAAAATCGGAATCAGAAAAGTCAAGATTGTCTTTATTTAATGATGTATATGGTGTTTACCACGTGCCAGCCACTGTTCTAAGTGCATTACAGCTGCCAACTCATTGAATCTCCTAATGACCCTATAAAGGAAAGCTCCATCATGACCCTCGTTCTGCTGCTGTGGGACCCATGTGACATGGAAAAAAAGCCAGCCTGAGGAGGCTGTGGCTTCTGTGCTGGGGTCTCTCATTGATTGTTCGGAAGCGTGGAACAGTGACTTTGTTTTAACCCCTCCACTTTGCCCAGCAGAGAAGTCAGGAGAACCAGATGACGGGGGCAGGGTATGATGAGGAACACTCTGAGTTGCTTCCAAAGTGAAGGCAGAGCAGAGCTGTGGTCACAGGGCAACAGCAGGTCAGCCTGGCACTGAGCAGCCCAAAGGGCAGACGAGAGGGAAGGAGAAGGAGTAGGGGTAGCAGAGTCGCCTCAAGTGAGACCCCTGGAGAGAGAAGAAGCAATTGCCCGCCCATCCCCCATACCTGGGCTGGGCACGTTCTGGTGGCCGCAGGGATGCATCACAGTCGTCTTTGTGGCATCATCCTCGGTGAGGGTGCCTGTGAGCTGTGATCTAACCTCACCTGCCCCAGACACAGTCATCAGGAAGTGTCTGGGCTTCCTTAGCTTGTGGAATGCGAGGTTAAGTGCCAAGCTGGCGCCCTAGGTTAGGTTGCTGTTCCCCAACCTGCGGTGGCTTTTGGTTGTTCATCTGTGGTTAATATTGAGATGAGCTGGAGATCTTTAAACCCTTCCTGGTGTCATGAACCCCTTCTCAGGATATTTTAAACGCATGATATAAAATATGTAGGCTGACAGGGGAAACAGTTGTATTGGGATACAAGGATCAGATTTTTAACATGTGTGATTTCACAGCATAGGTATTTCTTTACTGACACGTTAAAAAGCCGAGTGAGGCTGTGGGTCTAAGGACTGCTGTCGCCTGGAAGCAGAGATGAGCACACAGGGTACTTCTGCACCGACAGTGAAAGCACCTAGGGCTGCTGCTGGTGACAGAGTCTCAGGGGCTGAGAGAACTACTGGGATTTGTTGCCTGCATTTGAAATGGGAGGAAAGTAATTTCAGAAGCAGGTTAGTGAAAGCAAAGATGTCCCTTTCTTCCATCCAGTGGTCAGCTTCCACCTCCTGTCCCCTGCAGGGACACTTGTGGGCTTTGGGGACACCATGCTCCCTCGTTTCCTCTTACCTCACCTGCCACCGCTTCTAGAGTCCTGGCTGGTTCCTCCTGGTCTCCCTGCCCTCCTGACCCTGGAGTACCCAGAGGCCTCTGCACTGTCCCCTTGTCTCTCTGAGTAAGTGCTTTAGTGTCCACATCAGTAAAATGGGGATAATAGCGGAGCTTTACCTCCGAGTTGTTAGGACGATTGAGTCAATAGCTGTAAAGGACTTATTATTAGCATGGTGTTGGCACGTGCTAAGTACAATATGTTGTCTACAGAGAGATCTCTAGAGTAACTTTGTGTGCGATCTCATCCAGGCTTGTGGCTTTGATCCTATCTATATGTTGGTGATTCCCAACTTGTATCTATCCCTACGTTGGTCCTCTCTTGGAATCCAGATGTTTGCATCCAGCTGCCCACTCAGCCTGACCTTTGGCATCTCAAACTTACAAAGACCGAGACTGAGCCCTCGGTTTCCCTTCACAAACCTGCTTTTTCCCTGGTCTTCCCCATCCCAGTAACCTGCCTCCAGGTGTTTGGGCCTTGCATCAACCCTGATGCCTCTTCTATCATAACCGCCTTCCCCTCCCCCTCCAGATCCTTGCAGTTCTCGTAAGATAGACCCAGGGTCGGACCACCCCTCACCACCACTGCAGTAGGCCCCTGCCTGGTGCCTCTGCTTCATCATCACCGACCCACCTTCTCTGAGCTGTTATCTAAGCAGCAGAGAGGATGATCTGACTTTAGTTACTCTGAATCCAAGTCACGGCACTCCCGTTCAAAGCCCTTTAGTAGTTTTCCATTTAAATCCAAAATCCTTCAGCCCTATGGGATCTGATCCCTCCCCGTCCTCACTGGCTCTTCTTACAGTGTCTTCCCCTCTAACTGTCTGCTCCAGCACCCCGGCTCCTGGCCAAGCAGGCTCCTCCCATCCGGCCTTTGTACCTACTGTTCCCTCTGCCTGGAACGCCTTTCCTCCAGGAAGCAATCACCCATGGACCTTCCCTTCTTCTGTCCCCTTAGCTGGCTTTATCTTTTTTTTTTTTAATAAATTAATTAATTTATTTATTTTTGGCTGTGTTGGGTCTTTGTTGCTGTGCGTGGGCTTTCTCTAGTTGCGGTGAGCGGGAGCTACTCTTGGTTGCAGAGCACGGGCTTCTTGTTGCAGTGGCTTCTCTTGTTGCAGAGCACGGGCTCTAGGCACGTGGGCTTCAGAAGTTGCAGCATGCGGGCTCAGTAGTTGTAACTCACGGGCTCTAGAGCACAGGCTCAGTAGTTGTGGTGCAAGGGCTTAGTTGCTCCGCGGCATGTGGGATCTTCCCAGACCAGGGCTCAAACCCGTGTCCCCTGCATTGGCAGGTGGATTCTCAACCACTGCGCCACCAGGGAAGCCCCTGGCTTTATCTTAATTTATAGAACTTGTACAGACCTGACACAGATTCACTTGCCTAATCATGTGTCTTCTGACTCCCAGCACTAGAAAGTAAGCTCTGTGAGAGCAGGGATTTGGTCTCTGTTCAGTGCTGTGTTTTCAGTGCCCAGAATGGTATCTGGCATATGGCATACACTCAGTAAATGTTTGGTGAATGGACAAATGACAGATTCCAGCCCCTTGGAGATTCTAAATGTATTCAAGCACCAGAAGCCTCTTGCAGAAACAAGACGTCACGCTCGTAAAGCAATTAGGGGATCCCAGCAACTAAAAAATAAAAAGGGGCTTCCCTGGTGGCGCAGTGGTTGAGAGTCCGCCTGCAGATGCAGGGGACGCGGGTTCGTGCCCCGGTCCGGGAGGATCCCACATGCCGCAGAGCGGCTGGGCCCGTGAGCCATGGCCGCTGAGCCTGCGCGTCCGGAGCCTGTGCTCCGCAACGGGAGAGGCCACGGCAGTGAGAGGCCCGCATACCGCAAAATAAAAAAATGGGCAAAGGGGGCTTCCCTGGTGGCACAGTGGTTGAGAATCTGCCTGCCAATTCAGGGGACACGGGTTCGAGACCTGGTCTGGGAAGATCCCACATGCCGCAGAGCAACTAAGCCCATGAGCCACAGCTACTGAGCCTGCGCGTCTGAAGCCTGTGCTCCGCAACGGGAGAGGCCGCGACAGTGAGAGGCCCGCGCACCGCAACAACAACAAAAAAGTTGAAGACGTGTGATAGGCCTTAAGCTTCCTCCCTAGTAAAGCAGAGGGAGGGCCCAGAACCCCTTCCCATTATGTTCCAGCCATGCTTCCTCCATCAGTTCTGAGTTACAAGGTGTTGTAATGTTTACCCATAAGGGAGCAACTGATTAGCTCCGCCCCAGGCCCTCTGCTGGTGTTTTACTGAAGAGAAGCTGGGAAGCCCGGAGGAGGCTGACGGGTTTCCTGTCGAT